AAAGGTCAGTCCTCTTTCACATATTTGTTGCATGTCCAATCTTGTTTCAAACAGCTTTAAAAAAAGTTTTGCAACCCCCAACGCAACGTTAAAAAAGACCCAAGAGGCACTGGCTTTTATAAAGACAAGACTGTTTTTTTTTTTATTTATAATCCTGAACCAAACTATACAAAGCAGTGGTCAAAAAGCAACCAAAAAAAAACAAAAGGTTTCACTTGAAGGACTGAAAGAACACGAGTACTAGCATACAGTTCTGTTATAGATTGTTTTTTTCGTTCTGCACTTCCCATATAAAACACAATGATAAAACAAAACCCCCAAAACTGTACATAAGGATAGAAAGATACAATCCTTTTAAATGCATATGGAACAAAAGACCTTCAAGATTTAAAAAGGGGTTAATTAACATGTTAAGAGGGCGGATGATGCATTGACTAAGGAACCCCTCTCATTCATATGAACCATCTGTTATGTTAACTGATCTGCCAAAGCAAGGGATTAACTTCTAGCAGCACAACCAGGTTAAACATAGTCTATTAGCCCCTGCTTAAAACTCATCTTTGGTCTTTAGTGGATAGGAAAAATGTCACCCATGAAAATGACAGAACCTTAGGCTTTCAGTTGCTTGTGTGTACGTCCGCTGGTCAAATAACAGAGTAGAATGTGTGCTTGTTAAATGTGTGCTAAAATAAACATTGTTCCTTTTAAAACAGGGTTCTAATGTTGGTCCTACACCAATAAATAAGGTCTTACAAAAGGGGACAGGGTCATGATGTTATGGGCCTCAGTGCAATAAAAAGATCTTGTAGCGGCAAAAAGAAGGTCTGTGAAATATACAGAAAAGCACAAACTCTACTAGGTCAAACTGACCATACCGACAGAGCTACTGAAGGGCGGCGAGAACTTTAGGCTTGGACTTCAGCCTCTGTGGAGTCGCCTTTCTCCTCTGTCTTCTGTTTCTTTGTTTCGACTGCCTCCTGAAAGCAGACAAGCTAAGATTAGATGTGGTAAAGACGATGGAAACGTGTTGTGAAATGCGTCTGAAACCTGAACCCACCTCCTCTTCTGCTGGACGTTTCACGGTTTGCCCGTCTGCCTCTTCTTCAGCACCGTTCTCCTCCTCCTCTGCTTCTCCTGCTGTGAAAAACCAAACATATTTTTCAATAACCGGTTTTGGGACTAGTAAGTTATGTAATGATGACAAAGGCGAAGTCAAACTCACCCTCCTCATCATCCCCACCCTCTTCGTCCTCATGGGTTTCCTCTTCCTCGTGTGAAGCACCATTAGTCTAAAACAGAGAAAACACCATGAGTGAAATGGATACCAAATTGGTTATATCACCAGATGATTTGAGGATTTGCAAGCAATGTTAGTAATTAACTATAATTCCGAAAATGTATGGGAAGGTCAGTTTTGTAAAAAGCCATGTGCAGAGAAACCACGTGCACAGCCTTAAAGCTGTCTTCTCATAAGATGCATCTGTGTCAGTCAATTTGAACCCTAAACAAAGAGCAGCACGATGAAAGAGGGGGAGGGGGTCCTCCATCACCTGCGCGGCGAGCGGTTCGTCGGGGAGAAAAGCCACAAGGCCTGATGAGAAATACTCAACGCTTACTGTTCCATTTCCATTGGCAGGTGCGTCTTCGCTGCCATTTTCCTTCACAGCCTCCGCTGCCTCCTCAACCACCTCTTTCTTCTCTTTCAAGTCCTGAAATGAAGCAGATGAAGCAAATGAAGTTTATCGGTTCATAAATAAACCCCCTCCGACTACATAACCAATGCAGCGTGTGATTATGTCATAGGTAGTAAAGGGGAAAGTTTGTTTCCTTGAGTTTCCTCCCCACCCACACACACAGATGAGCCACAGACCACACACACCAGCTGGCTGGCTGCCTGTTAAAATACATCAAATGGCAAACCAACACCGGGGTCATGAAAACCACCGGTTTCGGCTTTAAAAACACTTTTAGCAAATATGCAATCATTTTATTTTTCCCATAAATGTAGTCGTAATGGTCACCTTCTATTGGTTAGCTCAAGTGAACTAATATGCAATTACGTTAGAACTGATTGTATATATGTAATATATAATCGGAACTGCTATTTAATGGGGAAACAAGTAAATCCGTTGTGTGTGTGTGTGTGTGTGTTATTTCCCTGAAACCTGCACCACAATAGATCTATTATATAGACGACTTCGTGAATTAAATCTATTGTACCGACACACATGTTGAGGTCACTTAAGGTTATTTCGCGCCGTCTTGCCCACTGCCCCTATTATTTCCCGGCAGGAACAGCACGCGCCGAGCTGGAAACAAAAGGAGGCAGAGCGCGCGCCAAGACACGGTGCTGGACTGTCCGGGGGCGGGAAGCGCGAACGATTTACAGCTCGCGGCGGCGATATTCCCGCCTATTCGAGCGGCGGAGATCAAGAGCCTTGACTTCTCACACACACACACACACACACACACACACACACACACAAAATCATATCAAAAGAAAAAGATCAGTTCACTCCCTCCTCATCTTAACGTTAATGGGATGTGATTAACGTTACATATGGGAATACATGTCGAATTCAGTCCTCAAGAGTTTTGAATGAAATGTGCGTAACGGTTGTCCGTTGAACCAGTAACGGAATTTATTCAACACGACTCGACGCGAGCCGTGAATAAACGAAAAGAGATGCTGCTATCCGAATGATTCTGTTTAAACGTTAACATTTATCGCTGATAAAACCTTTCACTGACCGGCCGGTTTCTCCTCAGTTTATTGTTAGCAGGTGGGTCCAGTTTCTTCAAATACATGATTTTTCAAGCGAGCTTACCTTGGCGGTGATCTCAGGGGTGGTGGTCGTATCAACAGCGGTATCAGCCATGGTGGTTTATAAAGATGTTTCAAAGAAAAATGTCCGAGAAAAGAGTTAGAAGTGGTGGGATGAGGTAGGACACGGTCAGACGGGAGGAGGAAGAGTGAATCAAAACTGCCTGAACCCGAGAATGAACGGCGAGTCGAGAGCAGCGGCAATCTCGCTGACATCTGATTGGACAGGATCGTGGCAACGTAAATCCGTTCTTCGATTTGATTGGAGGAGCCACTGTCAATTGTATCATGAAATCCCGCCCCTCTAGTAATGCGCCCGTCTTGTCTTATTGGTGGCATATTTAATTTGACCTTTTACCCGGTCTTTTAAAAATACTGTTATGAAGGTCAGGATTCATTCAAGCCATTCTGGTGACTTAAATATAAATATCTGACTTTTTTTGGATGCCTTATTTTTTTTCTCTTCGTGTAAATTTGAAGAAAATGCAAATTGATCTTCCGGTTAGTAAACTTAAAAAAAAAAAAAAAAAAAAAAATTTTTTAATCAATAGTATGTAAATTCACTAACCTAATTTTTTAAAGTATTATTTAAAAAAATAAATAATTTTTATTTATTTATATTTAATAAATATTATATATTTTTATATATAAAAATATATTTGCCACTATTTCCCATTCTTTTTGAAAACTGCAAACCATTCACTATTTCCCTTGACCTTTTTTAACATCATCCCTTGATAACTGCTTTGTGGTTGGAACCTGCCTCCAAGCTTGCACAGATGAATTCAAGCTTCTTTGGGGTCTTTGTTTACAGCCACAGTTTCATTAGCATGTTGTATTCAGAGACCATTGTGTCCCAGATGGAGACAGACCAGGCAGCTGTTTCATTCATAATGAGAAGTCACACTAAGATGCTAACATGTCTATTCCACACCATCAAACATCTCAGCACAGATAACCAACTGATTTATGGCTTGAAAGATAAGACACAGTCATTTTGGCTTCTCCATCACAGGAAGCCTACCTGTTGCACAAGGAACAGATTAAGGCTGCGGTTAAT